AAGCAAAAGCGAAAGATAAAACCATATTGGTTGAAGATATTAACGAATTTTTAAAAATAATCTTGAATAAAAAAAGAAACCAATAGGACAAAATAGTTTCGTAGCACCCCATTCGACATATGAATATCAGATGGACTTATTTTTTATTAATGATTTGGAAGAACAAAAATTTAAAATAGGAGTGTTGATGATTGACATCTTTGATAAATTTATGTCGGTCGTGGCGATTAAACACAAGAGCGAAGGAGATGTAGCAAGTGGAATGATTGAATGCTTAAAGAAAATAGGGAAGAAACCAAAAATTATTTATACTGATGATGAGTCTGCTTTATCTATGGAAGCAATGCAAAAATATTTGAAAAATAAAAATATTATTTATTATAGAACGCGAGGGCATCCAAATTTTGCAGAAACAGCGATTAGAACTTTTAAAGATATGCTTTATAAGAAGGTTGAAGTTGATGAAAGAAAAGAGAAACAAAAACTCGAAATATTGCTTACTTATAATAATCAAATGGAGCACTCGACCACCGGTTTAACTCCGAAAGAAGCACGGAAAAAGGAGAATGAGATGAAGGTTAAAATTAAGTTGGGGATGAATGCCAAGAAAAATAGTGTATATCTGGAGGTTGATAAAGGCGATGAGATTAAGATATTTAGGAAAAGAAAATCCAACGAAAAGAATACATAGGTAATTGGAGTAGCAATAGCTACGCCGTAGAAAAGAAGCTAGGGCAAAACTACTACTATATTGAAAGCATTGATAGACCGTATTTGCGCTTTGAACTTTTGAAAGTATAATTCAAGTTGTTCATTGCTTTACGAGTAAGTTGCGCGTCATTTTACTGGTAAGTTATTTGATATTTTACGAGTGAATTATGTGTCATTTTATTCCAAAAATATTCAATTTATTCTAATTGGAATGGCAAATTATTCTTGTCAGAACCATTCCAGATTGAACCCAAAATTATTCTAATTAGATTAATAAATCACAAATATAGCAAAATTATATTTCATAAGATATTTCATATGAAGTTAGGGGAAAGAAGATATACAAAGGACTAATTATATACTTGAAATACTACCTACCTAGAATAATCAGATGAAGCATTCGGCCAGATAGTTAACACCGAAAGAAACACGAACAAAGGAGAATCAGATAAAAATTGAAATTAAGTTTGGAATGAACTCCAACTAGAATAGATTATATTCAGAGATTAATAAAACGAAAGAAAACGTGTGGGCAATAGGAGTAGCATTCGATGCACCATAAATAAGATTAAGAAGAAATTAGGGCAAAATTACTATAATACTGAGAATACTAATAGACCGTATTTAAGGTTTGAATTATTGAAGGTTTAAAATAGAGTTACCTCAAAAGGCCCCATAAGAAGTTTTCTCTATTATTTCCATCTGCATTTGTTAATTTATTAAAATATCTTAACTTCTTCTATTTTGAAGGTAGCCGAAACTTCTGTACGTTGTCGAAGCTTCTAGAAATCAATAGAACTCAGCATTCTGGCCCGAGACTAAAGAGGCCGTTGTTAATAAGGAGATATGTCCTCTCTTGTGATTCTCCTATCCAATGTTGTATTGAATCGTGAAAATTATCTGAAAATTGTCGCTTGTGGCTTTTGTGTCCTGCAAGTCAAATTTAAACCGCCAAGTTGTGAGAGACAAATTTGCCTCTCAAAGCGTAAGCGCCCACAAACACATTAATATATATCATGCAAACCAGCAACTGCATCTCGATGATGACAAGTACCGACACTGGTGTTGGGCACAGGGGACTACAAGTCAACCTGGACGGATGAAAGCGAGAGGGTGATGGGGGAGTTTGCGGACCTTCCACATCACAATGCACTGGACGTCTGTTTTGCTCACTGACATCGCTTTCAGTGAGTATTATTGATGGCAGGTCGAGCAAGCAATCTCGCTCATCCCGGCCTAGTAGAAAACACACACGCTGCTACTCACTCGCCTGCGCATTCGCGCCGGCGGGCTGGCGTATTCCTGGGGGGAACACAGGGAAGCCGAGCGTCTCCGGCGCGGGATCGCGCCTCTGTGAAAAACCGAGCGTCTCCGGCGCGGGATCACGCCTCTGTGAAACTGTAGCAAATAGAGAACTGCACCACGCCTCGCCAGTCCAGGTCAGGGCATCGTACTCCTTTGCAATCGGGCCATCGGGGTATTTTCTCACAAAACATAGATTGAAGATGAGCGATAGAATCGTGAGATAGCCGCCAACACTGCCGAACAAGGTCCACACCTGCGGCATCACGCCTTGTTCAATGTGCACTTCCACATAGGAATCTTGTATGAAGAATTGAAGGGCCCCGCAACCGCTTGACGGTGTTGGCTGATCTAGCACAGGTGTCCACACTGAACATCTCTCTCTGGCATCAGAAATTGGTGTATCCTCCCCCCAGTTGCTGAATGAGAACACGTCGTGCACATTTGTATCAACTCCATTGTGTCTTCCAAGCTTGCGCTTCTGCACACGGAACCCTGCATAGTTGCCATAATTCTCGTGCGCCACGTATTGCCAATGTTCTTCTGACCACACATAAATTTGAATATACCCAACACCACAAAGTGTAAACCAAGGTTGTTTTGAACTCCACCGCCAACTGCGTAAGTCCACGATGAGGCAATGCAGCGACTTTCCGCTGACATGTGGTATATATTCAATCGACGTCTCCATGACCGTTTCTCCTGAAATCTTGTAGCCCGCTTCCTTGAGTTCCGTGAAATCCCCAGGACATACTGCCCAACGCCCAACACCATCCCATGGCTCGAGGCTGGTTTCGACTGGGGGGTGTTGAGCAGCCGAAGTGATTTCTCCGACTCGAAGAACCACATAAGCCACAAGGCCTGAAAGCAAACAGGTCACGAGCAGCATTGCCATGTACCGAAATCGTGGATCAACGCGTCGGTGAGCTGTTAGCAACTCCATGTGGCGACTACCGGTAGCCGGCGACGTCGCCAAGTGACTGTTTTGGGCTGTTCTGGCTGCGAGAGGAGACATTATGCTTTGAGGATGAACCAGGGGATCAGGAGGAACTGACAGCACTATGCGCAGCAGCCTACGTAAAGGGATCATGAACGCTACGCTAGCAGGCCTTGCCCAGTTTCTGATGTATGACAATATTGGGAAAATTGGGTTGGAAAATGCGGTTGAGCATCTCTTTGAATGGGTTTTGGCTTGGAGATGTTGGTGGGGAAAAAGGTTTCGACTGTTGGAAAATGTGGTGATGGGTTAGTGTGGAATTTGGCAAGGAATGGTGTGTTGACGGGCTGGTGGAAAAGCTTGGACTGGCTGAAAGGTGGTTTTGGCACACAGTTGTTAAATGGATGGCTTGGGTGGGAAGGTGGGGGCTTTGAAGGTGGAGGCGTGGGGGTGGTCTTGGGGAGAGTTTTTTGAAGGTGGGTGTAGGAGTTGGGGTTAAGGTTGTTCTTGAGGTGGAGGTCTTTCGGTGTTTTTTGGAAGGGTGTAGGGGGTTGAGGCGTTGAGGGGGTGAGAGTTGAGAGGGGGTTTTTTGGATAGGGGTAGGGATTAGAGGGTTTTGAGGTCAAGAATTGTGAGGTTTGGATTGGTATGTAGTTCTTAAAAGGGGTTAAAAGTATAGGGTGGGGTCTATGGTTTTTTCACGGTTGAAAATGGGCATACTCAATGCTAACTTATTTTGTTGTAACTACAATCAAGAACCCACCCGCAACCAAAAAACAAAAATAGCAGTAGTAGTGATTTAGGCTTTATCACACCCATAAACCCTAAACCCCAGGTATCGGTAATTATTCCGAGGCCAACCATCCACCCACGCATGCATACTTCTCAGCATCTCTTTTTCGCACATTGTAGGTTCAGGCTTTGGAGCGTTCAGGGTGTAGGGTTAAGAGCTTTGGGTTTATAGGGTTTCGGGAGTTACGATATATATCAAACTATGGACCTATTCATTGCCGCTCTCTCTGCAGGGTCGGGTCGTCTCGAGGGTTCGGGTATATGCTGGGAATCAAGGCTTTGACATCGGGTTTATATGAGCTCACGATTTTGAGCTGAGTGATTCGATCGCAAACACTAAAATAGGACAAGAAGCATCACCTTCGGAGTTTGCCAGGGACGACATCGTCACAGCATAGAAATCATCCACTGGCTATCAAACTACTCGACACCTTCAGAACATGATAGAACTTATCGAATTTGAGTTGGTCTGAAAGTTGTTTTTGTTTGCAGGGCTGTGCCGAGTCTTACTAGTAGTGTAGGGGTCTTAAGACGTAGAAACCGGCCTAGGGGTAGTAGATCATACTCTAATAGAACCCCGAAGCGGTACGATCAAAAATGACACAGGAAGCAATTGGAAAGCGGCATTGGTAGTTGCAGGGAATTCTCAAATAGATCATCTCGTTTTCCCTTAGCCCCCAATCTCGAATGTGAACCTTGAACCTGGATCTTATGCCTAATCAACAAAGCCCAAGTATAAGCCATTCCTAACTATTTCATACTTACTTCCCCAATAAGCCAGAGAAATAAAAGGTGAAACTTTCAAATGATTATTAAATTAATGGAACAACCCCAAAAGTTTAAAGGTTGAGTAGATCATTACTAAATTATACACACCCCAAGAGTTGAAAGGTTCGGTAGATTATTACTACATTAAAAAAGAACCACAAAAAGTTTAAAGGTTGGGCAATGTAGGGGCCCTAGTAAGTAGAATAGGGTTGGGCTCGTTTATAAGGAGCCCTAGCAGTAATATTGGTCATTATTTAGGCTTCCATATTGTTAGAGAACCAAGCATAAGAACCCACGAAGTTTAAAAGTCGTTGTGTTGGAGAACTGATGGTCTGCTTTTGCCCTGCCACCTTCTATGGCAAGTTTTTGGCTTCGCTTGCGCTGAGCGCCTTGTTCATGATCCTCACCTTAAGGGCTGTAGAGGTTCCTTAAAGCCTAAACTCCTATATCCAAAACGGGGGTTTTGGAGATGATCTTGTTTTAAAGAGCCCCCTTACACTGAAGAACCCTCGAGAGTACAGCACAGGAATTCGGTGTGTTTTCTACATTGAGGTCCTGAGGTCCTGTTTGACAAGCTTCGAAGGCTTGTTTGTTCCAAGGTTTAACACTGCATTGAGGTCTAGGTCCTGGCTATGGCAAAATAGGCTTCATTTTCTGACAATGTTGGAGTCCCAAGCTTCAATCTAAGCCAAGGGCACTTTTGCGGTCTGAACTATTCCGATTTGCTGCTCAGATGACTCAGGTGTGGTGTTCAGGTTGATTTTGCTACAGAGGTCTAGAATACCATAAGACCTCAGATTGGCTTAGAGTACTTTTGTTGGTTCCGGTCCTAGCCGGTTGCGGAAGACTTGACAGAAGATCCCCCGTTCATGTAGAACAACAAGCCCACAGAAAGCAGCGTCAGAAATGATACGGTTCGTGCTGTAAAGCCCTGAAAAGTAACCTTAAACTCTAAATCCTAAACCCTACAACAGCCCTGATATAGTCGCGTTGTGAAGCCCCGAGAAGAGGAGCCCGGAACAAGCCTCATTGTAAATCAAAAAGAGCCTCGAGTTTGCCCATATCGCGCCACGGCACGTTCCGCAGTTTGCCTTTGAAGAAGCGCTGCGTTGCAAATCGGCGGACCAGCTTGTTGCCAACTCTCAGTCCTGTAACCCTTTAAGGCGGCCTGTGGGGTTTTGGGTTTAGGGGTGTAGGATCTGGGGGTTTGGGGTTTGGGGTTAGGGGTTTTGGGTTTAGGGGCTTGGGGGTTTGGGATCTGGGGGTTTAGGGTTCAGGGTTTAGGCGTTTAGGACCTAAGGGTTTAGGGGCTTAGGGTTCAGGACTTCAGACTTAGTGCAAATCTGCCTCAACACACTTCTCTCTGCTCTGTCATTATCTCACAAACGGGGAAGCCCTACTGTACGCCTCACCCCCGAATGATTCCCTTTCTACTGTAGTCTTGGCCCTTTTTTACATAGTCTTGGGGTCATTTTTGGAACTTTTGGGGTCCCCAAAATATGTATTCGTAATCAGGGGGTTTGTATTGTAAAAAACTATGAAGGGGGCTCAAAGGTGAGACGGCCGCGCTTGAAAGAAAAATCTGGAAACATCGGGAAATGACCAAACATGACGGGGCATCACCTGCGAAACTGCACGACGGCGGCACCTAAAGGGAATAAACCGGGAACAATCCGGAAACTATGGCAACGGTAATACCTTTGCCAGTTGCGCTGACATCCCAATTTCTGGAAGATCAGGAAAGAACGAAACATGACAGGAATGAACTGTTGGACATCTGGGCCGAAGCGGAAGAATCTAGGAAAAATCGTAAACTCCTAAACAGAACATGCGGCAGACAAGTGTGAGATGGCTGGGTGAAGATGTCAGACATTCAACAGCAGATATTGCTGGGTTTCAGAGGGATCCATTGTAACACGGCTGTGCCCAAGCGTTGCAACAAAGAAGTGTTGAAGCGGCAAGCCCAAAGCAGGGAAAAACTGCAGCAAACAAGTGTGAGACAGCTGGACAGAACGCGGAAATCATCGGTCAATTGTGAGACGGCTAAGGCAAAGAGGAAGAGTCAGGAAATTTTCCAGAACATGCAGCAAACAGTTGAGACCGACGGACCGACCCAGAACATTTCGGAAATGACAAAAAAATGCAGCGAGCAATTGTGACAGAAGGGAAAATTCCGATGCAGCCATCAAGCATGAGCCAAGTGGACTGAAACGGGAAGAATCGGAAATGACCAGGTATGCCGCCATCCAAGGTGAGACGGCTGGAAGAACCGGAAGTGATCAGCTATGAGTAGCTATGAGCAGGGGGGCAGGCCCTGAAGCCTTCTAATCATTACTATTAATATTATTACTACTATGAGTATCATCATTAGTATTATTACTGTTCTGATTATGATTATAGTTTCCTATCTTTGGAACTCGGCGTTCTGTGCTCGGAACCCAGCTCTTGCAAGGATAGGCAATGGTCTCAACAGTGTCCCAACTCCATGCTCACAGTACTTGTGCTTTGCCAAACTACGGAGCACAAAATCTTCACGAAGGAGTCTGAACTTCCCAAGAGCACATAAACACTGCTGGGTCTCTGTCTCTAAACAGAAGCTGGTCACATTCCAGACGGGCGGGCCAAGCCGAAAAGATCAGGAAATGGCAAAGCATGGAGCAAGCAAGGTTGAGACAGCTGGATCGAGCTGGAAATGACCAAACATGGAAGCAGCAAATGGTGCAAGGTCAAGCCAAGCCGGAAGCATCCCGGAAATTACCAAGAGTGAAGCAGTGCAATATCGACGGACGTACCAGGCAGGCGAAGGCAAAATGACCGAGTATGATGAGTACGCAGCGAGACAAGGCGCCAACAGCTGGAAATTGGGGTCAGTTGGGCGGACATAACGCGGAGGCACAACTGAAATGGAGTGGGCCTGAAGCCCGGACCAAGGAACATGATGCACGTACAAAACAAAATCGATTCAGACCTGACCCGGAGACTGTCTGAGCACCAAACCGAATCGGGAGTTGGCAAAACAGAAGCAAACACGTAATTGCGTGAACCGGAGATGAGTTCGGAGACGAGCGGGATGCGGACAAGCAGTGGAGATGCAGCGGAATGACATGGCAATGAGACGGAATAGAGACAGACTGACATGAAATTAGCATGAAATGGAAATGACCTGAACGTTCCAGCGATCCAGCTCGTGTAAGTCTCGATGTACTATTATTGTTTGCGGTTGAGAACAGGCCTGTTGACATAAATTAACTCATACACTTTCTTTCACTGTAAAGTTTCAAACGGGTGACTGCTTTTTAACTTTTCCAAAACTTACAATGGAGGTGTCAATTCACATGCGCACACAAGTCTCAATGCTTTCTCGGTTCTGTTTAATATTTAATGAGGGGGGCTAACTTGTGTGCACGCTTTGTGTTGCAGTTGCCAGACCAATCGTGAGTCCCAGCTGCAACTCAAGCAAGCGTGGTCTTGTTCGGGGCCCTTGCAACCAGGCACCATTCCATGCCTCAAAAGCCAAGTGTAACAGATGAAAACCATTGCTCTCAAATGACAATGAAGTTGCTAAAGAAGCTCACCAAGGCCGAGCACGCCATAGACGTTCAGTGAGTCACACGGAAGCAACAAAGCGAAGGTTAGCCTGAAGACAAGCGACCCAACATTTCTTGGGCTGATTTTTCCGACAAATCTTGAAGCTTGTCTAAATCACAGGCTTCTTGATCCAGAAGAAAATCGAGCAAAAGCAGCATGACCGATGCCATGCATTCTAACTGCCGCGGGGAAAAAAGGCGTACACCCACAAGCCAAGGACTGTGCCTGAAACATCCTGGAAAATCCGACTCATGCGAGTGTACGCCCCAAGCTAGTTTGCCCCTCTTGTGAGTGTACTCTACTTTCACACGATGGCGTAAACAAGCATGTTTTTAGTCTGAAGCTTGGTGTCTACATTGTCGATTTTGCATCACACAACGAAGCGTACAGATCTGTTGCGGTGCCTTCCAATATGAGCATGTGGGCCCAGTGCTTCCAAGACTACCCAGAAAATTTTGTGATTAGAAGGCCATGGACGTCGACCCAACGAAGGCAGGTCAGGTTTAGAGGCCCTGCGCAACCCTTGGCTTTGAGAGGCTCTTGTCAGTTGTGCTTCGGCCGCAACCTTGAGAAATTGTGCTTCAAATTCCATTCCAGGATCTCCTAGGACTCCGAGAAGCTTCCAGGTCTCCACGGGTGCAAAAAGGGTCGATCAGGTAGGCAAGGTTCAGAAGGCGGAACAGAATTGAATAATTGGGTAGGGTAGGGACAGAGTATATAAAGAAAAGAAGCTAGAGCAGGTGGGGCGGTGTACCCTAAACCCGTAAACCCTACAGCCTAAACCCTAGACACGAAAGCTTCAGGATCAAGTCTCCGGCCTCAGCGTATTCTGCCACCCAGAACCAGACCTGAAACTGAACGTGTGCTTTAACATTCAAGGTTTAAGATCGGCTAGTATAGTAGTAAAATATAGCATAGTGTTTCTAGTATACTAGGTGCAACATCTGTTCGTTAAACTCCAATAGGGAAAACACAAATCGAACAAAGACTCCCCTGCCAGGAAGGATAGATTCTAGTTTGCAGTCGTGCCTAGCCATGTGCAAGGATGAATCTGTCTGGGAATCTTCCTTTGCGAGCAGCCAAGACACCGCCTTGTAAGCTCCAGCGCCAATCCGAGCTGTCGTGCCGCATTGATTTGCCCCAGGGGCAAAAAGCCTGTAAGAAAGCGACAACAAAAAAAACAGCAACAAGGGAAGGTTGCCACTGCAGCATGAGATAACATAAGCAACATAGCACATCACAGCAGAACATGATATTAGCATAGCACAGGATATCTCAATGTACAATAACAACAAGCAAACATGTAACAGAATGGAACATGAAGTAGCATTACATAACACAACGTACACAGAACGTGGCATAACATACTGTGCTCTAGTTTACTTAGTATACCCTACGCTTAGTATACTCTACTACCTTATACTACCCTATACACCATGCACTACAAGCGTCTGTATACTATACTATGAAACCATACCATATCATACTATACTATACTATACTATATACTAGACTTTACTATACTAATAAAGGCGATATTTTACTTCACTTCACTTCACTTTTCTTTACTTCAATTTATCTTACTATACTATACTATACTATATTGTACTATGCTAGGCTGTGCTATGCTACGCTATCCTGTGCTATGCTGTACTATACCATATTAAACTAAACTTTACTATACTCTGGTATACCATACTTTACTATACTTTGCTATGCGAGTACTACATTATAGTATACTATACCGTACTATACTATAGTATACTATACTACGCTGTACCATACTATACTATACTATACTACACTATACTACACTCTACTACACTTCACTACCCTGCACTACACCACACAATATACAAAAACATCGATGTAATACAGCACAACAGAATACAACATCATAGCATACCATATTGCATTATACTAACTGATGGCACATAAGATAATTGCATATTGTACTGCGCTGTATCACATTATATCATATTGTACGGTATCAGATCATACCACACATATCATATCATATTGTATTTTACTGTATTGTTTTGTGTTACCTTGTTTTATTTTGAATGATATTATACTAGGAACATCTGTTATCAAAGGTATAGCGTCCTGTAGCATGACATCATGAAACGGAAAACATAGTTTCTTTGTAATAGAACATGCTGTAGTGCGATGTAGAACGATGCAACTTGTCAAGGCTGCAGCCGCGGAACGCAGTGTATCCTGCTCCCATCTCCGTTGAAGAAACGCTGATCCAATGCGAAAGACTTTGCCCTTGGAGTCCCAATCCAATCACCTGGTTTCTTGATGAGGGGTTGACAGTAAATCACCATAACCAGGAAACCCTTTTCATTTCATACATACGCCAGTTGTCGTAAACCTAGAAACCCTTAAAGCCTACGCCGGAAAAATCCTTTAGCAAAAACTGCAGGTAAGTAGCTCCGTCTGCATCATCGTCGTCTCCAGGCTGGCAGTCTTGAGTCGGGCAGTTGGCGCACCAACCCCATCGAGCCTTGTTGCCGTCCTTGCATTCGACGTTGAAGCCAGGCCTAGAGCACACTAGGCGGCTGTACATGCGCTTTTTCTCCAAAATGAAGCAGCAACATGTGCTGTGATGAATATGGTATAGTAAAGCAGAGCCACGTATAGCGTATAGTAGGTACTCGGAAGCAAGCAACCTGAATTCCATCAACTTGGGGCGCGGCTTCTGCATCGGGCAATCCTTGTAAGAACCTTCCTCGGGACCCATGGCCCTGAGCATATCATCCTTGCTCACGGTGCTGTCAGCAACATACCCGGAGCTGAAAAGCTCTCTGGCACTTTTATATGTCCAGGGAAAGCTGTGATAGACACAATTGGAATCCGGGCTCCCAACACACATACGAACCCTCCGGAAGGGCACAGTGTTGAAGGCTGAATACTTGGCATCCTCTGCTGTCGTTGCCGGCGAATTTGAGTTGAAGACGTTGCTGTTGGTCCACAGCGAGGATGTGTATCCGAACTTGGGGCTCCCGGATCTGGTCTTCAACGCCAACTTCCACTCCTGGTTCACTTGCAATTTAGCTCTCAACGTTTCATGCATCAACGTCAAAACTTACGACAAGTTGAAACCCTTCTCAACTACTTCTCAGTTCCTGGGTTCCTGGTGATTTATTTGCAACTCCAAACAAAGGACAGTCATGAGAGTGAGTGGTAGGAACGCTGAAAACCCGACCCCCCACAAACCAAACCAAATCCTTTATCACCCTAAAACCTTCCGCACGCAAGCCTTTTCCCATCCCCGAGATCAGTAGAACACACCCCTTTTAACCTCCCCTATATAACCGCCTAACTTCCACTACCTAACTCCGCTAATCTCCCCTACAGAAGCCAGAAAAAGCTCCCTTCCCCCGGCCTGGACGTCTTCCGACACCCAAAACCAGACCTCAAGTTTTTGTCTGAACTCTGAGGAAGCACGCTTTAAGAGCTTTGAGGAGCTTTGGGCTTCGTAGGGAATCTAAAGTGTCTCCAGTGTTGGATTTGGGGGATTAGGGAGTTTAGGGAACAACGACTGCACTGCCATGAAGGATAGACTGGACGGATGGACCCATGTGCTTCGACAGCCGTGTCGTGCAAAAGATAGGAAGCTTTTCGAGGCAGCCAAGATGCAGCCTTGTGTACCTCCTTGCCGCTCGCTGTGCATTGGTTTTTTCCCGGGGCGAAAAACCTGCACAAAAGCGCATCCAGATTCAACAAACAAAGAAATACTATAACTGGCTTTACAAAGCAGCAGTTCTAGCTGCAGCCGCAACACCCAGTCCAACCTGCTCCCATCTCCCCCGTAGTTTGCCCATTGAGTCCCAATCCGATGGCTGCGTCTGCATCCTGTGTTGCTCCAGGCTGGCATGCCTGTGACGGACAGTTGGCGCACCAACCCCAGCGGGCTCTGTTGCCATCTCTGCACTCAATGTTGAAGCCAGGCCTTACATTAGCGCACCCCATGGAAACAGCAACAGCAAAAAAGAAGCAACACACAGGCAGCAAGCAAGCGATACGCGTCTCACACGGCTTGGTGCGTGGCATCTGCATGGGGCAATCTCTATAGGAATCTTTCTCAGGGCCAAATGCCTTGAGAAGATCATCCTTTCTCAGGGTGCTGTCGGGAATGTACCCGGAGCTGAAAAGCTCTCTGGCACTTGCATAGGTCTTGGGAAAGTTGTGCTCGACGCAGTTGGACGTCGGGCGCCCAACACACATGCGCATCTTCTGGAAGGGCACAGTGTTGAATGCTGAATACTTGGCGTCCCCCTCGTCCATTGATGGCGAATCTGCGTTGAAGACGCTGCCGTCGGTCCACAGTGCGGAGGAGAATCCAAATTTGCTGGTCTTGCCCGTCTTCAATGCCAATTTCCACTTGTCCTGTTTGCGCATCTCTTCTTCGATGTTGCTGTCGAAGTTTGTCAAAGCCTCCACGGCCTCCGAGGAAAAGCGCATGCCCGGGCAGGAAGGCAAGGCAACAACAACCAGTAAAAACTCTACTAATTTACACTTTATTACGTCACAGTGTAGCGCATCGTACTGTAAAGTATTGTATTGTATTGTATTGCATACTGAGGACTACAACCGCCACCACCACCAACGCCAGCGCCCGTCGCCACCGAGCCACTTCTACCGCCACGGCCACCACCACGACTGCCATTCTGACCACCACGACCACTACTGTTACCACTACCGCGACGACGATAATGACAACGACAAAGACGACCACGATGGTGACGACGATGTTGCCATCAATGCAAGCACTACGGCAACTGCATGCACCTATGATCTTACCAAGGTTGCCACATCTGCCCCCATCGTGTGCTCTTCTATCATGCCACTTTGTATCACAACGCGATTATTGCATAACATCATTTTTTCAGAGCGTTGTGCATTGTTGCATTGGAACATGTTTGCGAGTCTACCTTATTGAGCAGTATGACATTTTTTGCGTCATGTTACAATGTGTTTCATCGCAACGTACAAAATTATACTGGCTAGTTTTACTAGAGTATTGGATGGTTATCATGCGGCACATCATCGCAGTAAACCGTTATATACTACGGAACACAGTTTTCTATAAGATAACGATGGTATTTAATGTGCCACAATGTAACCTGATGTGACAAGGTACCACAAGATAAGATAACACGATATGCAACATAATGTGGTGACATATTGAAGTCAATCATATCATGATATATCACCTCATTGTGTACTGTTTTGTGTTACATTAGCTTCCAATACACTGACCCAAGTTGCTGGTAGTTCTTTCATTACGAAACCACATACTCTTTAATGTTATCTTTTCATCTTGTTCCCTTTAGTGTATTTTCATGTGCTCTACTGTGTTCTGCATACACCTTTACATGAAAGGTCTATTGTTTCAGGTGGTTTCACCTGTGACTATGTGGGAGTGTACCGTGCTTCAACCACATGTTCTCTTGAATCGTCTTATACGAAAGACTTCGCGGCATGTCCTGGCATATGGCCTCACTACTGTATGACATGGTGTGATATTACTGTACACTGTGTCAAATCGTATCATATTATACTATACAGTATTATGTGATATGACATCATATTACATCAGGTCAGATAGTATGTGTCAGGTAATGTCACATTCTTGCATAGTCCGTTATGCTCTCTTGCATCTTGTGATGCCATGCTCTATAGCACTTAGTTTATGCTATGTTCTCCTGCCTTAAGTCAAAGCAAGTTTTATGATATTGTATCAACGCATGTCGTGACATGCCATATCTTTTCATATTGTGTTCACATTATAATGCTCTTGTTGCGACCTCCCTTCCCGGAAATGCAAACTCCAAGCGGCCTTCACCTTGCTGTCAGGGGAGACGAACGGCAAACCGGCCAACGCAAGCGCCAGCTTCACTTTCATGTCAATCAGCCTAGCACAGACGATTTAGGCGTTTAGGGTTTTATCTTTGGGGCTTCAACCTATAGTACAGCTGCCGGGGACATGTGCGAGGTGAGGATGGAGATTCATGTGCTTTGCATGGCTTCGCGGCTAGCAGTGTGTAGCGGGTCTCAGAGCACAGCAAGCCTCAAGAAACAAAGGGGCGACCACTCTTTGTTTAGAAGGCTTCGAGCTTGTGCTTGGCTAATGAAAGCATTTACGATTAAAGATGTACAGCATGGGACTGCTGAAACCACACTGTCTGCGGGTACTCCCAGCAATGAGACGATATACTGCGCGCGCTGTTGGTTCGGATGAAAAACATAAGGCGTCAGGCAGTCGTGTTTGCTGAACCATATGAAGCAGCAGCTGGATGCTATAAGTGAAGATCGCAAGTGCATATGTTCTCAAACCTACACCTGTAGCTAAAATCTCATTACACGTACGACTGGCAGGTGACAGGTGTCGAGGGCATGTCGTTCCTGGCATGAAAAACTTTAAGGAGCTTACTGCCGCATACTTTGTTTGGTCGCTAGGGGAACTCTAAACCGTAGATGCATGCTCCAGGATTTCTACGGTGGCTCCCTTAATCGCAAACACTCGGAAGCAGTACAGTGTGCATTGTTGTGGTGGGCGCGATCTGTGTTTGAGACACAGCTTGTAGTAACGGCGGGCGAAACTGGGCAACTGAGCCCAAGAGTTACCAAAACTGGAGCCCAATTCTCTTTCAGGCCACGTGATGATGTGCTCCGGCGGCGACCAAGGTCCCAAACCCATCCTAAGCAAGGCGATTGCTCCACAGTATAGTATAATATAAGATATACTTTAATAGTAGAGAATACAAAATCTCTAATAGAATAGAACAGAATAGAATAGAATGGAATAGAACAGAATGGAGAAGAGTAGAGTAGAGTACAGCACACGGATGAATATGGTTAAGGGGTTTATATAACCGAAGTTAGGGCTTTTTTTGTACAGGAAAGGTTGGGGAACTTCACACTTTGTGGATCATGCGAGGAGGTGCTTAAGATCGTGTTTTCCAAACATATTCAGGTGCCGGAAGTCGTAGCAATCGACCTCTGGAAGACGGTTCGTGCACATTGGCAACCCGACAGCTAACTGCACTGCAGCACTGGCATACGGCTTGTAAGCTGTTGCGTTCTGAGCAGTGCACATGCATTTACTGCTATCTGCATATCATCTTGCAGGGTTGCAGGCCTGCAGTCTGTCATTACATGTGCTCTTTTGACGCAGAAGAGCCTGCACTGTGAAGTACCCCGGTGAGTATCTTCATGAGGCTAGCGGTCCTAGGCTAAACCCTACCCATCTCCTTTGTCGAAACGAAGCTGAGCCTCTGCCTGTACGTTACTAGACAACCCACAATAGCTCAGTTTTGAGAAAAAATTCTGGGGAGATGCGGAGGAGGTTCTAACATTATCCTGAGGTGTCTCCGCAAAATTTGAGCCATCTGGAACTATACAGTCCCTCATGATACAAGGCATGATTTGGCCAATTGTTATCTACACGAGAGCCTACCTCATCTGAAACCCGAAACCCTCAACGCTAAACCCTAGACCCATAAACCCATAAACTCCCAAACCCCCTAAACCCTAAATCCTGAAACCAGTGCCGGGAGTCCGAACGCCCAGGTTCAACTTGCTGTTGTGCAAAAAGCCGCGGATATGGAAGGTCACCTAGGCAGCTTTTTAATAGCCAATGTTTAGGGTTTAGGGTTTTAGAGGTCGAAGGGTTGATGGTTTTGCAGTAGCCAATTAGCGCAGCAGATGACCAAAGCCCCTGGCGAGACCCGCAGAAGGACCCCAGGAGGTCGGAATTCAACAAACACGCCGACGCAGAGCATGTAGGTAGACGTGGGTTAACCCGACAATTGGTAGCCGTATGTGGCCACGACGGCCGCGCACACATGCGCACACTGGCACGTGCAACACTACCCAATGTCAGCCACTAACACTTTGGCATCCAGGACTCTTGCAAGCAGCCCAGCCACTAACACTAAGCCCCTAAACCCTAAACCTTAGCCTTTGAAATCCTGCGTGTCCAAGGTCTTCGGTTGCTGGGAATCTGCAGAATCTGCGTCTCTCCCTGTGCATCGCTGTCGCTGGACCCATGTTCTGGATGTCAACCTTAAAGAGCTGATGACCGTTGTCCCTGGTCCTGGCGTCCAGACAAAACTTGGGAAAAAACAGCCAAAGTTTCTACAGACTAAGTATATTATACTATACTACTTTACTTTACTATACTGGACTTTATCATACTATACTCAACTGTATACTATGCTATACTACTACGCCCAAAAGAACAGCAGAGAAAATAAAAACAAAGTCTGGACTTGGAAGAGTATCAAGTTGGCCTCTGAAGTGGCCTCTGAAGACGTTTGCAATGCCTGCAAGCAAGGGCACGAAAGCGCAAACCCTCGGCAGCGAGTGTGTGAAGAAGGTTCCAGGCCACTCATATTGCCGGTGTTGCTGAACCATAATCGGAACATACAAACCAGTACAACTTTGCAACAGCTTGAAGCCACCTCCCACCTTTGCTCGTTGAGCATCAATGCGAAAATGCCTATGAGCCTCATTGAAGCATCACCGTTTCCGCATTGGATGGTTGACTGCTGCTTCACATTATTATGCAGTCCGCTTCCGAGGTATGATAGGTATGAGCGACATGGAAGACGCATAGACGGTGCGCGAGAACCTTTAATTGCGAAAACCAACTCAATCAATTGCATCTTGAAAAGGCATGCAATTAAGCACGATTCAGCACAACAACTGGGTATGTGTCATCCACCAGAAAGTAAGGAACAACAACCGGCAGCAGCATTGACAAGAGCGCGTGCAGAGACCTGGGCAACTATTCATCATCATGCCCTGATCATTTTTCAGACGCTGATTGCGATGTTCCCGGTGATCATGCCGGCGTGGAGGAGGAAGGATAAGAACGACGACAACGATAACATCTATCGGGGTGCCACCGTGATAACTACCATGGTGCGTGGGGTGTTGATCATGGACACAGACAGAAGCCATGTTAAATCCCAGGTGCGAGATCTGCTCAACTTGGTGCGGACGCACTGTTACTTACATGCAGGCACACCCCCCGGGCCTAGCAGTTGTTCGGACTGTGGGATTTGTAGGGTGGGTGAGGACCCCGGGGGCGGTACTAAGGGATTCTTTCCCGACGAGCACCCCCCACCCTCCACTGTCCCCTGCTAGGGTGAAAGTACCGCTGCTC